GAGTCCACTGCCAGGGACTGAGACCAGCACCTTAGACAGGCAGAGTCCACTGCCAGGGACTGAGACCAGCACCTTAGACAGGCAGAGTCCACTGCGGGGACTGAGACCAGCACTTCGAGGGGCAGGTCAGGAAGGAGCCTTGCCCCGTGAGTCTGACGCTGTCTCCGCAGACAGTCAGCACTAACTTGAACGAAGACGCCTTAGGGGCACTCTCTGTAGAATGGACTGCTCCTGAGGTCACACAGGTCTGAGTGAGGGCAGAGCAGACGGGGACAGAGCAAAGGAGCAGAGGGTTCCAGGAATCAGCCAGCCATGGCAGAGACGTCCTTGGGTCTGGAGCTGGGGGCCAGGTACAAAGGTGCAGAACCTCACTGCCAGGACAGATACAGACACCCCAACTTCTCTGTCAATTCACCTCAGCTAGAAGCAGTCACCGATGATGCTTCGGAAAATGAAGACAGAAGAAAAAGGAATGGGTAGGGAAAGGGGTGGTGGGGCTGTGAGGGCTCTGGACAGTTGGGGCAGGTGGCCTCTGGGTTGTGCACAGGCCTCCGCTCCTGACCAGGCACCTCCAGGAGAGTCACTAGGGCCTCACCCAGATATCCTGCTTCTCGCCGATGGGGAAATTGGAATACAGGTCTACGATTTCTGGCGTTCTGTACATGGGTGTGGTGTTTCTTGTGATCTGAAGAAAAGCACAAATGTGTAAAGGTCAGGTTACACTTTCATACTGATGCCCTAAACCTTTCAACTCTGCCGCAGGCTGACAGTACCCTGTCCCCGCACTGTGCCTCGGAAGGGTCTCAAGCCACACAAGTACCTACATACTGCCACTGTGGTTTCTCGCACAGAGCCCCTAAAAACAGCCACACCCAGGTATTGACCTGCTCAGAGGCATGTTGCACTCAACACAAGAAACCTACCCCAAAGTGCACAATAGGCCAGTTCATGTGAAGGCTAATGCCTAGGGAGCTAACAAAAGCTTTCAAATGAATTCATGGGCACAAGTCTGTCACATAATCTGGAACAGACAAAATACCAGGAGTACTGGTTGGCCAGATTTTAAAAGGCAGACACATACTCAGAAGGAGGAAATTGGGAAGATTGGGGTTTGAGGCCACTTGAGCATACATTTTGGGATCCAGCCAATAAAAAGTGGGGCATGGTGGTGTGTGCCTATTATCTCAGTTAAGCAGGAAGACCACCATCGAGACCAGCCTGGGAATAATGCAAGACCCTATCTGAAAAATATTAAAGCAAAAAGGGCTAGGGACATGGATCAGAGTGTCTACCTAACAAGTACACAGTCGTTGGTGTCCAATACCATCAAGAAAAAGAGAAAAACATACACACACATACACACCCCCCAAAAAAAACACCCCCAAACCAAGAGATCTACACAGCACAAATATCACACAATACCTACATAGTAAATGCACAGCGGACAATGCATGGTATGGTGAACACTACTCCAGCCCAAGACTGCACTCATAAAGACACTGCGTCAACATGCCCAGGCAGTCAGGGACTTCTTCAGCGTGTGAGACACAAGCAAATGAAAACACAGGTGGACCGTAATCTGAGAGGCCTCCCTGAAGACAGCACAGTGGGCTAGCTAGACAGGTTTGTTCAAGATGCAGTGCCAACTAGGGCTTGTGTGCACAAGCAGGACTTCAGGAGACAGAGATGAAGAGTAGTCAAGAGCTAGTGCAGGCACGTTAGCTGGCCAGGGGCACTGAGCAGGACAGCGGGGCCTAGGCCCCTCTGCGTTCAGCCACGGGAACACTGAGCTGTGCACTTACGACCATGTGCTACCATGTGTGAGAGATACTTCCACTAAAAACCTTACGCCACTTACCCTTACGTCTCTAAAGGCTAATCTCTGACACAAAGTAACACTTCACGGGACAGCTCTGCCAGTGACTGCAACATGCTGACAACAGCCCAGGCCACAGGTACTTAACTCAGGGTGCAGACAGGAGGCTACAGAAAACCAGGAGAGGCCAACAAGTGGAAAACAAGCAAAACCAGACTCGAATCACCAATGTGAGTTTCAGGGGGAAAAACAGCAACAAACAACAGCAGTTGGGAGAAGTGAGAACAAAACCACTCAGAATCTCGCAAGCTAATTTGGAACATTTTTGTCCTATGTGACTATGGAGAAAACGGCACCTGTTTCCTCTTACGAATAACACACAGATGAGCAGGTGCAAGGGCTCAGGAGGCGGGCAGCACAGCCAGTGAGGGAGGAGCCATTGTCACTGCGGCAGGCTGCATCAGAAGCTGGGGGGCGGGGGGGAAGGACAGGAGGGCTGGACTTGGGGAACAATGACTGAACAGAGGTGCCTGATTGGATGATCTAGACGACTCTGTGAGTCCACTGGCACGGAATCGCACACACTGTTAGGCAGGATAGGGTGCTGACTAGGGAAGGCAAACCTGCTTCCTAAGCTCCAGCCAGCCTTCTTGAGCTTCAAGCTCTGCCAACCAGCTTGAGCAGCAGGTAGAAGTGAGGCTCCACATGGAGTGCTCTGGGCGTACCCTCTGACCTGAGGAGAGGACTCACGGGTTTACAACCGACTCAGGAGGGGGCTGGAGGCATGGTTGAATGGAAAAGCAACTGCCTAGGAAATGTGAGGCACAGAGTTCAAACCCCAGACTGCCCAAAACAGAACAAACAAAAAACAACTGATCTAAGAAGCTTGGCTGTGAACTGATGGCTAACCCCCAAGAAGCCCCGAACGCCTCTAATAAAGCCTGTTCTTGTGAGAGAATAAACACAAGTTCTCCTCGCAGGCAGCACACCAGCGCGCGGCCACAGCACGGGGCCCAGACACATCCGTCACCCTGTGAAGGGAGTCTGGCCTTGAAGAGCTCCACTCAGCAGCACGGGCAGCGTCCTGCCAGTGGCATCTTTCAGCAGGCAGCTCCTCCTCCACCCACCCAGGAGCTCTCTGCCCAGCATCCTGCACTGTCCTCTGCTCTTCACTTTCTGTATGATCCACAAGGCCTGCTAGCCAGTCTCATCAACACACCTTGCACACCTTCCTGCAGGGACAGGAGCCATCTAGACAGAGCAACCATGGCTCCCAGCAAGCATGGCTCTAAGTAATTCTCAGAAATACATTCCCACATTTGGAACAATGGACTGGTTCTGAAGATGAACATGGTCACGGCTACACGCACTATGAAATGTGCTCACTGCGGTGAGCCGCATGCTTACAACAGTTACAATGGGAAATGTTATGTGTACTTTTCAGCAACTATGTTTTTTTAATCCTAGAAATAAAACAGGATTAAGGCATTCAGAGCCAGGTCTGGCCCAAGGAGGGGGAGATAAAATGAATCCTGCCTCTAGTGACATGTCTGTAGCCACAGACTAGTGAAGACAGAGGGCAGCAAAAAAGGGTCCCGACGCTTGGCGAGGTAGTCAGCTCAGTCTGGTTGACTGGAGCACACTTACACATGTGCCCAAAGAAGCGCAGGGGACAAAAGGTACACAAGAGAAAAGGAAAAGGGAGCAAACGTGGCTTCCACAGGGCGCGGGCTTCCGCAGGGCGCGGGCTTCCGCGGGGCGCGGGCTTCAGCGCCACACCTCACCTCCTCCTCCACCATTGCTCGCTTCTGGGCGCTCCAGCTGTAGTCCGGGCAGTGTGAAATGGTCGTGGCGCTGCCAAAGTCACACAGCTTAATGGTTCCCTGGTTGCTAAGCAGCAAGTTTTCAACCTGCAAAATTCCAAAAGACAATCCTTATGACCCGAGTTCCTAATATGAGTCCAAAAGACAGTACTATGAGCAGGTTCAGTAAAATCACCCAGCAATACCAGGCATGACCAGCACCATAGCAGGCAGCCACTCTGCACCGAAATGAAGGCTGCTGTCCAGCAGGGACCACCCCAAGGATTTGAGAGGCCCTGCAGCACCTTGACTGCCAAGGTGTACCCACCATAGCACAGGGTTAAGGCTCTGCAGGCCACAAAGGGCCTGGGCAATGGAAGACCTTATGGAGGAAAAGGAGGAACCGGGCCTTCACGGGAGGCCAGCACAGGGGGATCTCAAGAGAAGACAGGCAATGTCTTAATTTCTGATCAGAAACAATACATGTGTAAGTCATTTTAGAAATTAAAATTACAAGCCGGGCGCTGGTGGCTCACGCCTGTAATCCTAGCTACTCAGAGGCTGAGATCTGAAGATGCAAGTCTAAACCCAGCCAGGGCAGAAAAGTTCATGAGATCTGTAACTAACCAGCAAAAAGCCAGATGTGGAAGTGTGGCTCAGAAGATGGAGCACAGCCTTGAGAAGCCAAGCGAGAATGTGAGGCTCTGAGTTCAAGCCCCAGCACATGTACACAAGTACACACATACATGTGTACACACACACCCCCCCACACACCCCAGATAACCCTAGTCCATAACATAATGAGCCTGCAGAAAAGACAGAATAGGAAAGAATTGCAATATGCTATTATAATGCATTAAATGTATCATGACCTGAGAAATAAATCTAACAAAAGATGGACAAAAGACTTCTTGTGCAGCCAGACACCAGTGGCTCACACCTGTAACCCTAGCTACTCAGGAGGCTAAGATCTGAGGATTGCAGTTCAAAGCCAGCCCGGTAAGGAAAGTCTACAAGACTCTTATCTCCAATTAACCACCAGAAAAGCAGAAGTGGTGCTGTGGCTCAAGTGGTAGAGTGCTCACCTTGAGCTGAAGAGCTGAGAGACAGCGCAGGCCCACGGTAAAAAAAAAAAAAAAAATTCTTGTGCATAAAACTGTAAAATGATAATTGTAGAAGTTTAAGAAAGGCATTCTAGCAGGGCACCAGTGGCTCACGCCTGTAATCCTAACTACTTGAAGGCTAAGATATGAGGATTATGGTTGGAAGGCAGCCCAGGCAGGAAAATCGATGAGACTCTCATCTCCAACAAAAACTACTCAGAAAAAGCTGGAAAATAGTGCTGTGGCTCAAGTGGTAGAATGCTAGCCCTGAGCATAGAGAGGCTCAGGGACAGTACCAGATCAAGGCACCCTGAGTTCAAGCACCAGGAACAGAAGAGAACAGAACAGAACAGAACTCAATAGATTCAAAATAAACAGAGAACTATACTATACTACTCCTACAGTGAGGCACAACATTATAAAACTGTGGAACCTGCCCCAAGCACCCCACGGCAAGGCCATCTACTTAAGACCCAAGAGCCAACATTAGCCATCACCAGTTGTACAGTTCACAAACCAGGAATGGTTTTTATAGTTATAATAGTGGGGGGAGGCAAAGAAAGACTATAAAAGACACATAAAATTACATGACATCCAATCCCAATGCACAGTCTTACTGGCACCCCACACCGTATTAAGTGCTATGCATATCCATGCACACTCAACAGAGTGGGGTTTCCCAATAGAGGCCAGTACAAGCCAGGAGCTGCTAACATACCCTCTGACTTCAGAGAACCCCTTCCACAGGTCAGGAGGACAGGGTGTGGGGCAGCACAGTCCATGGCAAATAAGGAGAAGGAAAATATGTGTACACCAGCCACAGGAAGAAACTCCGTGAGACAAAGGCCTACAAAGGATACTCTTCCACAGGACAGTCACAGTCCTTCAATGTACATTCCACAGTCCTACTATGGATATTCTATAGTCCTTCAATGTACATTCCACAGTCCTACTACGGGTATTCTATATTCTATAGTCCTTCAATGTACATTCCACAGTCCTACTACGGGTATTCTATATTCTATAGTCCTTCAATGTACATTCCACAGTCCTACTACGGGATTCTATATTCTATAGTCCTTCAATGTACATTCCACAGTCCTACTACGGGTATTCTATATTCTATAGTCCTTCAATGTACATTCCACAGTCCTACTATGGGTATTCCACAGTCCTTCAATGTATATTCCACGGTCCTACTATGGATATTCTATAGTCTTTCAATGGATATTCCTTTTTTTTTTTTTTTGGTCGATCGTGGGGCTTGAACTCTGGGCCTGGGCGCTGTCCCTCAGCTCTTCAGCTCAAGGAGAGCACTCTACCACTTGAGCCACAGCACCACTTCCAGTTTCCCGTTGGTTAATTGGAGATAAGAGTCTCATGGACTTTCCTGCCCTCGCTGGCATGATCCTCAGATCTCAGCCTCCTTAGTAGTTAGGATTACAGGCGTGAGCCACCGGCACCCAGCCCTACAATGGATATTCTATAGTCCTTCAATGGATATTTACAGTCCTTCAAAGGATAGTGTATAGTACTGCAGTGGATACTCTAAAAGATGGAGCGACACATTGGAGAGATGATTCTCACCATTTTACCACACAGAAAAGACACACACAAGCAGAGAAAACAGACTGCCTTAGGAACACAGCACAAAGTCAAGGAAAGCAAAGTAACCACTGAAGCTAGGCAGTTGGAGTGGCCAGTAGCACACGCTACGCTATGTAAATTCTTATGCCCACGCCCCAGCAGGCAGTGACGAGGGACGGAAGCCTGGATGGAGCCTTGACAAGGTGAGAGGCCGCAGACATGCCAGGGAGCAGTCAAGATGCCTTACTGGGAGACAAGGGATGCCAAACCCAGGGCAAGCTCAACCTGATTCTCCACCCATTTTATTCTTCACACACACACACACACACACACACTACAATCCACCACACTTTAAAGATGTGAACCAGAAAATTCCTGATTCCCCAGTTAAGCCTCCTCCCTGACCATCTTCCCCTTAGTACCAGATGCACCATGGTTTCTGAATACTGGGAGGTATTCGAACTTTGAAAAACCTTCCTTCTGAAATTACTAGGAAGGGAGAGAGGGAGGTGAGGTACAGAGGAAGAGGAGAGAAAAAAGCACCTCTGCTGGGTCCTAGGAGCATTTTTAGGCTACCCAGGATGGAGCACAACCCAGGGGTTTTCTGGGCCTCACTAGTGTTTGAGACAGGGCATCTGTCCAAGTAGTTACTTCAAACCCTGATTTTTTTTTTCTTAATTGGTCATGGGGTCCCTCAACTCTTCAGCTCAAGGTGAGCGCTCCAGCGCTTGAGCCACAGCACCACTTCCGGTTTTCTAGTGGTTTATTGGAGGTAAGAGTCTCACAGACTTTCCTGCCCAGGCTGGCTTTTGAACTGTGTGTGATCCTCAGATCTCAGCCTCCTGAGTAGCTAGGATTACAGGCGTGAGCCACTGGTGCTTGGCTTAAATCCTGATTTTTTTAAGCATCTTGAATTCAGGGGACAATGAAAGTCAGGCGGAGCCACAGGTCAACATCAAGGCAGAAACCTGTAAGGCACAGTGCACATTCCCCAGCTTCTAGAACCCAGACCTGGATGGGGGAGGTAGAATGAACAAGAGAAGAGAGTGGGCCTCAGGAACACCACCAGCTGGGCATGCAAGGCCAAGCTCCTGGCACCTAGGGTCTTACACGTACAAAGGCCAGACTAGGAGGTAGGAGGACAAGTAGCCTGTGGGCTCAAGTTTGGGGCCAGGTGGAGAAAGGAGCATTAACCCCACCTCCTATCACAGCCAGTCTTCAACGTGAACAACACCTAATTAGGGAAGGACAGCTTCAGCAAAGAGGGAGGACCTGGGGAAACGAGAGCATCTGGGCTGCCCAAGGCCTGAAGGCATCAGGGAGGGCTGCTCCACTTCAGGGAAAACTGGAGGAGGTCAGCAGCAGACTGCCTGAGCAGACACTCGGGAATAATGTTCGTTTTGTTGACAACAAATGGTGCTACAATTCTGGAAGAAACCTCTCAGATGTACGTACAAGTATCTGGCAGTAAAAATGGCTTCAGTGTTCTTCAGCAAAAACAATCTTGGTCAGGAGTTAGGTCTAGCACAAACTGTGGATATTGGAATTTGTTTTGTTTTAAAGCAAAATAGAGGGGCTGGGAAGGTGGCTCAGTGGTAGAGTGCTTGCCTTGCAAACATGAGGCCCAGGGTTCGATTCCTCAGCACCACATAAGCAGAAAAAGCTGGAAGTGGTGCTGTGGCTCAAGTGGTAGAGCGCTAGCCTTGAGCTGAAGAGCTGAGGGACAGCCACAGGTCCCGAGGTCAAGCCCCATGACCAACAACAACAACAACAAAAAACAATATAAAGCAAAATAGAGTAGTGAGGACTGGGAAGGTGGCTCAGTGGTAAAGTGTTTGCCTAGCATGCATGAGGCCCAGGGTTCGATTCCTCAGCACCACATAAGCAGAAAAAGCTGGAAGTGGCGCTGTGGCTCAAGTGGTAGAGTACTAGCCTTGAGCTGAAGAGCTGAGGGACAGCGCCCAGGCCACACAACCGGCAAAAAATAAAAATAAATAGAGTAGTGAAAATAAGGCCATAACCAGATGTCTGTCCTTTCTTCTTTCCTTCTTTTTTTGTCAGTCATTGGGTTTGAACTCAGGGCCTGGGTACTATCCCTGAGCTTTTTTGCTCAAGGCTAACATTCTACTACTTTGAGCCACACCTCCACTTCTGGTTTTCTGGTATTTAACTGGTGATGAGTGTCACAGATTTTTCCTGCCTGGGCTGGCTTCAAACTACAATCCTCAGACCTCAGCCTCCTGAGTGTGAGCTGAGCCACCCGGACCCAGCATCCAGGAGATTTCCGTAGTACATGCAATCTTTTTTTTTCCTTTCTTTTTTTTTTTTTTTTGCCAGTCCTGAGGCTTGAACTCAAGGACTGGGCACTGTCCCTGAGCTTCTTTTGCTCAAGGCTAGCACTCTACCACTTGAGCCACTACTGGCCTTTTCTGTGTATGTGGAACTACCACTAGGCCACATTCCCAGCCACAGCACATAAATCTTTAAAGAGATTGTTACATTATTGCTTAAGTTCAATGAATCAAATACACAAGCCAATTAAAAAAAAAGACAAAAAGGAAGTCAATTAGGCAGGCGCCAGTGGCTCACACCTGTCATCCTAGCTATTCAGGAGGCTGAGATCTGAGGATCTCGGTTCAAAACCAGCCCGGGCAGGAAAGGTCATGAGACTTTTATCTCCAATAAACCACCAGAAAACTGGAAGTGGTGCTGTGGTTCAAGCAGTAGAGCGCTCGCCTTGAGCTGAAGAGCTGAGGGACAGCGCCCAGGCCCAGAGTTCAAGTCCCAACACCGATCAAAAAAAAGGAAGTCAATTAAAGAACAAGGTTCTGACAGATATAAACATCATGGCATTCAATTTCATCAACAACCAGAAAAAGTGAAATCACAACACACACGACTGTCCTCCCTGACCAGGCTGATTTTACTCCGCTCCTGCACACCTGTGGGAGGGGCCGACGTTATCCCAGCACCAGGAGACCACTGGTGACACAGCCTGCAGGGGGTGCTGCATGTGTGTGATGCCCCCTCCAAGGTCAGAAGGTCAGGGCCACAGGGAGACACCCACCCCCTCCCAGACCAGGACCAAAGCCATGCTGGCCAGTATAGGACCCCGAGAGCCCAGGGTGACAGGACAAAGCAGTGGGGGCAGTGTGAAGAAAGACACAGGTGAAGCGGTCCGGCCTCAGGAGGCAGGCCAGGGCGAGGTGTGAGGGTACCTTGAGGTCTCGGTGGATGATGGGCGGCTTCTGCCTGTGCATGTGCTGCACGGCTCGGCACGTCTGGTAGAAGATCTTCAAAATGGTGTCGCAGGACAGAGGACCTTTAGACTCTACTCTCTTTAGGAATTCCACCAGTTGTCCTAAAAGAGATGATTGACTTTAATCACCCTGGGCTATGCTGCGCCCCTGGGCTCTTTGTAACTTTTGTCTTTTTTGTGCTAGTGCCAGGGTTTGCACTCAGAGCCACAAACTCTCACTGGCTTTCTTGCTCAGCAATGGCACTTTACCATTTGATTGAGGCCTCTGGTCTGGCATTTTGCCGGTTATCTGATGGAGTCTTGAAGACTTTCCTACCTGGGCTGGCTTCACACCGAGATCCTCCACACCTAGGATTACAGGCAAGAGCCCCGGTGTCCAGCTGAGCCTTTTCTGAGGCCACAGTCAAGGTGGATGCCCAGCCTGAACCACTCTGGGAAGCTCGGAGTGTGAGACAGGCAGCCCAGGGCAGCACAAGAAGCCATACGGCCAAAGGAGAAAAACAGGCTACAGCCACAGAGCAGACATCCTACTGCTACAGAGAGGAGGACTCCAGAAAAGCACGTCTGCGTGTTGTCCTCACACCACTTCCAGTGGAGGAGCCTGTCTGTGCACATGATACTCTTATAACAACGTGTGCAGACTTGAGCTAGAGGATCGTGCCTAGCTGTGGCTCCTCAGGCCAGCTATGACTGGCACAGCATCACACCACCAGGTGCAGGCTGGACACATGGCTAGCCAGCTGTGGACCCTGCACGGCCTCTACAGGCAGCTCAAAGTCCACCCTGTCAGCTCCTACCTTGCGGTCCACATTCAAGCTGCAGCTCCAGGCTGGGTGGCCCCTGAGCCTTCTTTGCTCCAGAGATCCTACGTTCCTCAGCAGATCCTAAGCTGCTGAACCTTGCTCTCCACAGACTGGCCCCCGTGGCACCCTGCTCATCAACAGCCACAGCCTCACCTCCTCCCTGCTCCCTGGGGTGTCACCCTTAGCCTCCTTCCTACCCTGCCTTGTGATCTTAGAACCTGCTACTCCCACCCAAAGCCTGGGTAGGTCCCATGCTTTCCTTCTGCAGCTCCTGGCTAGCACCCTCCTCCCAGGCCTTCTCTTCCCACCCTACCTAAAGCACCCCTCGTCCCCTGCCCTCCTTGAGGCTGGCCTCAGCCGAGTGGAGCAGCTTCTCTTGGACGCCCGGTGGCACCTGGGTGACTGAACACAGCAGCACCAGCAGGTTGGTTTCCACAGTGGCTGAAGATTCTACGTGTCTGAGCAACCCTCTTGGCTACCCCAGCCCAGTGATCCCAAGCTGGCCCTCAAATCCGGCTGTGTCAAACCTTTCCCAGGCCCAGCCACAGCTGCCCACAGGTTTCTTCAGTGGCCCTGGAGGAACAGGGTCCTCACAGTTGGCCAGGCCTGCGTGAGACAGCCCGGGCCTAATGGCCCAGAGTAGAGGTGGTGACCTGACTTTTGGGAAGGACAGGATGCAGAGTAACTGGACTGTGTGCATTCTCACTGAAAATAGATGCAATTTCTTCCTTCTTCCTGTTTTGGTGGTACTGAGGTTTGAATTCAGGGCCTTACACTTGACAGGCAGGTGACTTACTACTTAAGCTATGCTTCTAGCCCTTTTTGTCCTCAACGTTTTCCCAACTGAGTCTTGCTTTCTGTCCAGAAGAGCTTGGACCACGATATTCCTATTCATGCTTTCCATCTAGCTATGGGACAGGCCTGTGTCACTGGCTAAGATAGGGTCTAAGGTACTTTTGCCCAGGCTGGCCTCAAATTGTAAAACACCCTCTCTGGCTCAAACTTGTGATCTTCCGGCCACGGCTTTCTAAGTACTAGAACTACACGTGTGAGCCACCACATCCAGCCAAGAGATTATCTTTAAAAACAAAAACTCTAACATGTAGTTGAGCGGGAATAGCTAAATAACTCTCTCTTCCCTCACCAGGTGGAGGGTGGCCGAGCTACACCTCACGCCCTCTGCTGACAGAGGGCGCGGGCGTCCGAGGCTCGTCCAGTGGGCCCGACGCGGGCCATGGGAGGGTTCTCACCTCTCCCGCTTCTCAGATGCCTAGCAGCTAGGCAAGCCCTCGCCAGTGCAGCGGGCACACCCACAAGCACCCTGGCACTTGGCTCACCAAAAAGCAAAATTGGAATTTTCAAGAGAGCAAAGCAAGGCAGTGGCTGAACTCCTCTGCCTCCACGCACTAAATCCAATCTGGGCACCTTCTCCTCCACGTCTCATATACTAGTGAGGTGAACTCCTGCCACAGCTCCTGAGTCCTGGATCTGAGGCATGTGCCACCATGCCCAGCCACAATACGGAGCATTGCTGAGAAGGAAAAGTACACACACTCAGACCCCATTTCGATAAATGTGGTCTCTACCTTTTCAATAAGTACTCATTTGTAGGGGCCGGGAAGGTGGCTCAGTGGTAGAGTGCTTGCCTTGTATGCTTAAGGCCCTGGGTTCGATTCCTCAGCACCACATAAGCAGAAGAAAAAAAAAGCCGGAGGTGGCGCTGTGGCTCAAGTGGTAGTGTGCTAGCCTTGAGCTGAAGAGCTGAGGGACAGCGCCCAGGCCCAAAGTTCAGGCCCCACGACCGGACCCCCCCCCAAAAAAGTACTTATTTGTAATCAGGTGAGTATAGTAACAACAAGCATCCAAGAAGGAGATAGCTGAGGCGGAGGCCTGAGCTAGAGGAGTCGTATCCCAGCCTGTTAAAGGCATAGCCGGGACAGCACCCAAACTCAATTTCCAGACACCATGCCAGAGCTGCAGAGAAAGTGAGGGTCACGAGAAAGACTCTCATGAAGGAGGCCGCACAACGGACTACAACTAGGAGCTCTCATGGATCCTGGCTGGGGGTGGGGGGACCAACTAGAGACAGGTGAGCACACACAGTGTGCAACAACCACCATCAAAGAGTGAAGGTTTTCTTGGGTCACAGAGGAAGCTGCAGTTGTCATAGAAAAGGCTCCTGCCCTTGGGCAGTGAGCGCCATCAAGAAGGTCCAGTCATGAACTAAAACAACTACAAGAAAATGTTACACACTAGCGAACCTATAGAAATCATTAAGTTTCCCAATGGTTTAAAACCTCAAAATTAAAAGCTGATAAAAATACATCAAAATACGCACTTAAATTTCAAGGTTGAGGACTGGGAAGGTGGCTCAGTGGTAGAGTGCTTGCCTCGCATGCATGAGGCCCTGGGTTCGATTCCTCAGCACCACATAAGCAGAAAAAAAAAGCCAGAAGTGGCGCTGTGGCTCAGGTGGTAGAGCGCTAGCCTTGAGCTGAAGAGCTGAGGGACAGCGCCAAGACCCAGAGTTCAGGCCCACAACCGGACCACCCCCCCAAAAAAAAAATTCAAGGTTGAGATCACTCCATATGTGTCAGTCCTTGTTCAAAGTGAAAAACTTTTATTAACTAAGAAATACTAATAAAAAATACATCTCTGCACAAGTTGTCAATGTGAGAAGTCAGTGTGCCACTGCCACCCAACAGTGCATCCTCAGCCCAAGGCCGACGGCACAGCCTGCTCTGCTCTCATTCTGAGGGGAAATGGTTCTGGCCACAGCCCTGGGTGGGGCTGAGCGAGGGGCCCAAGGGGAAAGCTGAGGAGGCCCGAAGGCTCCAGCTGGAGGAAGCAGTTGGTACCCACATGCTGCTCCTGCGGCTACAGAACCCACACTTGATCTGCACAGCCCCTGTCCTCTGCACTGGGCACGGGGCCTAGGTCTCACCTGCAGATGCACTTCTGCACACACCTGCACCTCTGCCCACTAGTGGGCTGCGTCCCCTTGGATGACCTACAGTGCTCTCCTGGCTCTGAGGAGGAGGCACGGGCTGGCGAAAGGTGGCTCTCACACAGCTAGGCTTTCTTTCTGAGCCTCAGTCGCTCCTGTTGCCCCCATTTCTCTCTCCAGGTGGACACAAGCAGTCGCTGGTGCCAGGGCATGTAATTCAGAGAAACATGTCCCCCCACACTGGGCATGCCAGGCTAAGAGCGAAGTGTAGCCGACACAGTACTTGGTGGACACTCAGCGGCAGGGCCCAAGGGAGAAGAGCTCGCCACCTCATCCCACTACACAGGCAGTGCTTGGGGGCTGGAAAGGGGTGGGGGCGGGAGGGGCTTGCCTCAGGCATTGCCTCTAATCCCTCAAGCAGGGCTTCCGGTCCTGCCAACAGACTAAGGACCCTTCCTGCCTCCTTCTTGGACCTGGCCTTAATGAGGTCATTATTTCCGGCTGCCCAAGAGCATAGCACACAGCCATGAGGGGTGTGTGACCTGCATTTCTCCTTCCCGGTCACACATTCAAGGAAGGTCCACTGCAGGCCAGTCAGTCCTGTCTCAGGAAAAGGTGGTGATGAGATCCTTCTCCTTCAGAATCTGAGCCAAGTGTGGCACTCGTACACACACACACACACACACACACACACACACACACACACACGATTCAGATGGCTTGAAGACCACTGGATAACCACACACACACACACACACACACACACACAATTCAGATGGCTTGAAGACCACTGGATAACTGACCTGTTCTTTCAGTTCAGACCAATGTCTTAAGACTCTAGGGATATTTCACAATTGCCTGAACATATCAGAAAGCAACAAGACCCCAAAAGCACTTTACCTTTGCAGAGCTCTGTGAGCAGGAGGAACTCAGCTTGTCCAGTGTCTGATTCCTCTTTTCCTATGGATGCTGCAGAGCAGAACTGGACAATGTTGGGGTGGCCAGAAAGTTTTTTCTGCAGGTGTCTTGTTAAAAGAAAATTAAGTATATGAGCTGGGAAGGTGGCTCAGTGGTAAAGCGCTCACCTTGCATGCAAGAGGCCCTGGGTTCGATTCCTCAGCGCCACATAAGTAGAAAAAGATGGAAGTGGTACTGTGGCTCAAGTAGTAGCGCTAGCCTTGAGCTGAAGAGCTGAGGGACAGCACACAGGCCCCAAAGTTCAGGCCCCACAACCGACAAAAACCAAACAAAAAAACAAAACAAAACAAAGTAAGTATAAGTGTCCCCAACTCTGCATTTAATAATAAATGTACACAGCATTAAGAGGCTGTGGTCACAATGCCTGAACTGCTGTAGGTCTCAACATTGTCAGAGCAGAAAGATGAGAGAGAGGCAGGTGGGAACAATGAGAAGGTAAAGGGTGGGGGAGGAAGCTGTGAAGAGGGCAGATCTAAGCAGGTAAGTGGGGTAAGCAGACATAGCAGGAAGGCTATGAGGAGTGACCATGTCCACTCTACCACAGTTCATGTGGCCAACAGGCCCCTCTCAGTGTGGGAAAGCTTGAAGAAAAAGGGAAACAGGTTCTACCAGCAGTAGGTGAGGCTCCCTGCTTATGGGAGACATGTATGGTAAAGTAAAGCAGGCAAGAAGGGCCCTGTACCCGGCCGCGGACACAGGGTGAGCAGGGTGGCTAGTAAAGAACCACATACCTGAAGGCTGGCAACTGTGGCTCTCCACAGCCCTGGCCCGGCCGTCAGAAAGGTGGGAAGGGGCTCTCTCTGTGGCCAAAGGCCCACTAGTTAGGTGTGGAGACATCCTTGACAAAAAACAACCCCTTGGCTCCACATCTCTAAATCTTTTCACGTGTGCTAGTAACAGGGCTTGACTCAGTGTCTGGTGCTCTCACTCAGCTCTCTTGCTTATGACTAGTGCTCTACCTTTTGAACCATGCCAGGCCGGCATTTTGCTGATTAATTGGGGATAAAGTCTCATAGACTTTTCTGCTCAAGCTGGCTTCAAACCATGATCCCAGATCTCTGCTTCCTGGGTAGCTAGGGTTATAGCTACCTCTAAATCTTTTACTATGACCCAGGGAGTAGAGAACAGGGAAGAAAACTTTTCACAGAAATGGTCAACAGAAGTATGAGAAAGCAGGGCTGGGAAGTTGGCTCAGTGGTAGAGTGTTTGCCTTGCATGCCTGAGGCCCTGGGTTCGATTCCTCAGCACCACATAAGCAAAAAGAAAAAAGCCGGAAGTGGCGCTGTCCTTGCATGCATGAGGCCCTGGGTTCCACTCCTCAGCACCACATAAGCAAAAAGAAAAAAGCCGGAAGTGGCACTGTGGCTCAAGTGGTAGAGTGCTAGCCTTGAGCTGAAGAGCTGAGGGACAGAGCCCAGACCCAGAGTTCAGACTCACAACCAGACCCCCCCCAAAAAAAATAAATAAAAACAATGAAACTTAGAACAAAATTTGAGATTGTCAGAAAGCTACCTTGGCTCCAAAGTTTTGCCCAACAGACCCATGTCCCACTTTAGGTGTAAATTCATGAAAACCATTTGATAGCAAAATCTGGTCTATCATAAGCTCATTTGGGACAAAATCTGATGTGAATTGTTACAGGCAGTTTGCAGACTGAGAGAATATTCATTGAATTTAGATATACAAAATACCCGGTTTATTCTCTGAACCATCTTCCTGAATTCTGAAGATGTAAACCCTCAAGGGTCTGTCTTACAGTCGTGACTGGAGATCTCCTGAACCCCACAACCTGCTGCCGTCCGGGAAGCTCACTCACATCCTCGTAAAATACCTGCGATAGGCTGCCTACCCCGCTTCAGTTCAGAAAGAAGCGTTAACTAACTCATTAAGTCTAAAAGAAATTATGGCTCATAATTATGCAGGTTATTTTTACCTCCTAGTTGGCTCCAGTGCAAAGGAAGTCAATCCCATGTCACCGTGACAGTGGCTACTCCACATGTCCCAACCCCGTGTGGCCCACTCAAACTCGTGCAACTAGGATGGCCTCCCACCAGCAATAATCTTCTGCCCCCAGTGAGTGCACTCCAATTCCTCCCATCCTGAGACGATACCTCGCTTACTCCTCCTGGCTCCCCACCACACTGTACTGCCTCACCCACACAATGTGGCCATTGAAGTGTGTCTTACGTTCCCCAGGAGCAGAGGCTGGGTCCTGGGTACTATGAATTTCATGAAAAGTCAAGACAACTGCCTGGCAGTTTTGGAATAAATGAATTGATCTGGGGAATGCTTGTCATTGTTCTAACAGATGCAAGGGAACATTTTATTTCAAGACATCAGCACAATTGTTACCTCCAAAGGAAGAAGGATTAGGGTTAGATTTTCTCACTTAATCACATTCAAAATCTATAACTACAGCATTTCCAGAATAAAAGCATATTTGACTCCCTTTCTGCCCCAACAATGTACAAATGACCACATGAGGCCAGGCTGACTCTTCAGCCCTAAATGCTGGTTAGGGCTCTACTCTCTCAAAAGAGGGAAACAAGCCAATAGGCAGAATACAACTGGGTTTAGCTGGAAGACCTGACACACCTTGGACACCACAAGGCACCTAGGTAAGGCAAGTCTACAAGAGAAACTAGAACTCCATTAATGGTCACTCCTGTGTGAAGCTCAAGAATCTACAAACAAAAATAACAGTAGATTGACTTCAAGACACATTACTGGCTTTGTGTAGTGGTCTAAGGTGTAGGAAGATGGCAAGTTCCATTCCAGCCTGAGCTACATAACAAGACTATCTCAAAAACAAAACATCACAAAACAGACATGGCTAAAGACCATGTCACCCTCCAAGGTTCTCTATGGGTCACAGTTAATGGCTCTGCTTCCTATAACTTCCAAGAGACAACACACAAAGCGATGTTGGGGGTAAGACAAAACAACCTGTGAGAAGAGAACCCAGAACCATGGGGCCCAGCACAGTGAAGTCTACGTCACTAACTGGGGCAGCCAGAGACTGTGGAGCTCTCCAGAACTCAAGAGATGCGAGCCTGCTCTCCCGGACCCTCGCTCTGGACATAATAAAGAGCCATGTCTACTTATGCCTACCCCCTCTTCTCCACCTCCAGACACTGCTTACCTCCTGAGTCTCTCGGGCCTCCCCAATCCACTGTCTGGGCCTCTTCCCTAGACCTAAGGAGGGCCAGTTCCAGTACTTCTTACTGGACTGCCACTCTTTAGTTTGAACCCAGGCCTGATGCAACCAAGAATCCAATCCAGACACAACTGCCCTTAGCAGGACTTGTAGAGCTACTGATCCACAACCCCCTTACAGTGGATCTCTAGCTAGGTTCGGTGTGACTCATGCCCCCAGCAGAGGCCCTCCCCAGCTCCAGCCTCCTCTCAGCAGACACCCTGCCCAATATGATCACTTCTGAGCAGAAGGCCTCCCCAGATCTGTCCAGGGGTCCCAGCAGAGGCCTCCCGGCTCTGCCCGGGTCTCGGCAGAGGCCTCCCGGCTCTGCCCGGGTCTTGGCAGAGGCCTCCCGGCTCTGCCCGGGTCTCGGCAGAGGGTCTCGGCAGAGGCCTCC